TTCTTTCCTCCTGGAATCTACAAAAAAGCAAATCTTAGACATATTTGTCTAGTAGAACTAGATGAATCGATTTTGAGTCCATTTTTGTTCCTCACCTTCTTGATATGGACAAACTGACGAATATCCATGTCATCATCGCAGTTGCGCACATCCGGTCGCACTGTCTGCACAACTTGCCTCACCACAGGTACAATAATATCACGCCAGGAGAGAGACAGTGATTCGCTGTACAGCAGCTGCTGCAGCAGTGCCATCATGTGGCTGTGATTAGCAGACCTGAAGAGGAAGCATTAATCATGATGTGTGCTTCCAAAAGTCCCTCAACTCATTTACATGTGATTTATATGTGATGCTTGTAAAAAAAATAATTTTTGTATTTTGCTCCTAATTGTAAATTAATAGATGTAACCAACCTTAAAATAACATGTTATGCATTAAAAATAACAATCCTCTGAAGTCTTACAGTAAACGCTCCATTGCTTTTTTTTCCCCGTTCTCTTCCCGCAACTGGTCCAGAGAGCTGTGATGCCAGCCGAGAGGTGTGAAGAGCATCTCTTTAGCTTTCTCCTCAACTCTCCGGTTAAACAAAGACTCTACAGAGGAAAAACATATTAGCATAGGTGAGACAATAGTTCATGTACACTACACCATTTTTTTTTACTTTAAAGAAACGGTTATTTTTACTCCGCAAGGATGCACTAAATTGTCACAAAAAAAAATTCAGTACATTTACATTTATGCATTTAGAAAACACTTTTATCCAAAGTAATTTACAAAAGAGGTACAAAGTAAATACTTTTATGATAACAAAGGACTATTTCTATTTAATGCTGTTCTTCAAATTCTGTTCATTGAAAAATCCTCCACTTGCAGCAATGACAGCCGTGCAGACCTTATGCCTAAGCAGTCAGTTTATGAAAATAATTACCATGAAGTTTCATGCCATGCTTTCTGTTGCACTTCCCATAGGTGCGATTTGCTTGTAGAGAATTTCTGACAGACCTTATGATCAAACGGTTTCCACAACAGATCAAACTTTGATTTATCTATTCAGAATACTCTTCTATAATCGGTTACCATCTTTAGGTTCTTTTGACCATTCTATCCTTTTGCTTTTACTCACCAGTTTCAGATTGATTTAAAACTTCAAATTAAACTTGAAGATTCAAACTTCAAAACCATACATGTCTTAGTGATTCAGAACTTCTGAATGGAAGTATTGTAACAAACTACAGTAAAGGATGCGAGAAACAATTACCTTTTATAAAGGCATCACTGATGGATATATGCTGACCTCCATCTTCAGAGAGCAGGACTTCCACTGACAGAGAGAGTGCATGTGAGACAGAACAGTCATGTGTAGACATCGGAGGACACTGAATTATGTAGATTTAACATATAATTAAAGTAAATGTTAATTAGAGTAAATGTTGCCATAAAACCAGTCTAGTACAATGAATTCGCTTCAACAGTAATTTTGAGGAAGTGGAAGTCAGTGTTACTGCTTGGTTACTGTGAGGCACGCATGACGTAGCGGCATGTCATGCTTTTGAGGTAGTATGACAAACTGGAAATGTACTAATATGAAATGTTGTACTGGGAAGGGACATCATGTGAGACTTAGAAGGAAAAACTCATTCATGCTGGACAATATGCTATAGTTAGGGCTGTTACTTCAGTTGTTAATTATAGTTTGGAGGGTCGGACTAGTATTGAATGGTAAGTCTCAGATCAGCAAGACATCGGTTTTGCTCCAAACCCCAGTGAGCTGCCTACCTACAGTAGATAGGATTTACACACATCACAACCATGCACCTGATGTAAAGCCTGCTACAAACACAAGGCAGTAAAATTATGCGGTCTCATAAGATTCCTCATTTTAGCTTCAGTCTAAGGCAGTGGCTCATGTATTCTTTGAGCGTAAAGCAATCCCAGAATGCATTATGGAAATCTGTGGGGATTTCAAAAAAAAAATCTGAGTTAGAATTTATTTAAAAACAATTCAAATTAATTAATAATAAATACATTTTATTTTTGTGCTTATTAAAGAGGTCATGTTGTGCATTTTCTTTTCTTTCTTTCTTTCTTTCTTTTTACCTACTAAGGGGCAATTAAATTGTTCATAATAAACTTAAATTGTAAGACACAGCAATTTTAGTTTTTGTCAGCGTTTTAAACCCACTCTTTGACTTTGAATGTTAAGTTGCTGCAGCTTTAATAAGTCGTCATTGAGATTTCTTTGCAGTTAAGCTGTAGCCTTACAAGGTAGCTGCCTATGTAGACAGTATATAGTGATGCAGCTGACTAGGGTTTGAAACAGAACCAGTGAGTTAGTGCTGCTTTTGAAGCAGACAGAGGCAAACCAGGATGGCCAATGGGCCTCTCCGCCTCTCCTCACTTGGTGCATGGATGTCGGTTTCTGGGGTGAACGGGTCATGGGGCTCCATACTTTTTTGCTCGGCTGGGTAAGGAGGCACATGTGGGTACTTGGCTTGCTTCTTGATGTGAAAATTGACATTGTCCTGCTCCACGTTTATGTTGATGGAGGCAGCGGAGTCACTGTCCACTGCAGAGTGGAAACTGCTGACAGATGTTCTTTTGCTGGGGCTGGCCGAATCTGGAAAATTGTGAGAGGGGGCCAGCAAGTTGGTGAGGCAAAGACATACTGACTGCTATAGGATGTTAACATTCATGGGATACTTACTCGGTGTGACATATTCATTTTCATCAGCTAGCTGCTCAGTGTCACTGTCGTCAAACTTGATGTCTTTAAACCATGACGGTTCGGAGTGTCCCTCAAGGGAATTCACACTGTCGCTGTCTGGAGAAGGGGTTTCTGAGAACTCTGTGCTCTGAAATTCAACAAACACATTACTAATATGATGACAGATAAAATCAAACCAATTCGTTTTTTTGTAAAGTGCACAATACACAAGCCAAATCTGAATTACAAAAATTGTGTTTTCAGTTAGCATACAATGTCAAGCTACATTATTACAAGAGTCATGTGATTTCAATTTAAAATGAGTATTGGATTGGATCAATTTAAAAAAAGTTACACAAAAATGTCAAAAAATATGGTCATGAACATATTACATATTATTTTTATCAGATATTTTACCAACATCAGTCCTGATTGTAACTACAAAAAATTCATTCAATTTCAGGATTTTAGCCCTTTAAAAAACAGTTAATGCTTAGTAAATTATAAGCAGATTTTTTTCTGGACTATTACATGTCTTGGATATGTCAAACATGATTTTTAATCATCATTCAAACACACACACACACATTTCTCAGTACACACATACAAACCACACTGACATCCATACCAATACACCCACTTGTTACAATTACATAATTACATAATTGGCCTTTTTTCATTGCTTTAATGAGTTTCACTGGGAGCAACTATGTTCTTAACCTTTAATCGTCCCTTGATTTGAGCAACGTTAAAGTCCCTTGGGGTCAGATAGACTTTTACAGTGATTGCATAAGGAAATATAAATTTTTTTATAAGACAAACTATATATAATTTTTTTTATTTACTTCTCAGCTATATATTTATGCTGTGTTTTTGTGGATATTTGGTAGTTTTTTACCTATTTACTGCACAAATACTCAACTATGCCATAAATTGGCTTATAAAAAATAATTTTTTAATGAAAAAATCCCTTAAATTAGGACCTAAATTAAATATAAAAGGTTTCTGGATATTGGCCCATGTGTTAGGGATAGAGGCATTATGCAAATCTTCCCACATAGTGAGGTAGATATGTGGGGGCGTGTTCGAACAAGCCGTTTTAGGTAGGTGTGGTTAACTCTTAACTTTTATAAAGAATATCTCTTTGGATTTGAGACTTTAGTCTTTGCAAATTTACAGATCTTCTTTATGCACCAAGAGCTTGTAACAGTCCAAAGAGAAAGGAAAAAATGAAATCGCATCATATGACCCCTTTAAAGAAGTCCGTATGAGGTCCATAGGGACTCATTCATTTTCAGTTCAGTTTCAAGTCCATTTTTCTTCATGTTTCAACTTCTCCTCACAACTTTATGATATATATTTTGTGAATATATATTTAAACATTCTAAAATACATTAAAAAGTCTGTATTTTTATATTTATTTTAGTTGTTGTACTAAAAGTTGTTGTTATTTTGAATTGTTTGCTTTTGCAAATTATTATACATACATTTGCAGAAATGTTACAAGTCACCACTAAAAGACATGACTGTAATCACATACTATTTATTTCAGAAAATTATTTATCACAATTAATAAACACTGCATAATCCTCCTCTTCAGATTCCTGGTAATCCTGTTCAAACTCAGTTTCATCTTCTGTGTCAGTAGTAAAATCCTCAGGACTATCTGGTTCAATGTTCTCTGGGCCTTCTTCACTGTCACTTTGATCCAGTATGAAATCCAGGGTCTCCTCAAGACTGTACCTTTTGGCCATGGTGCTGCCACAGAATGAGCTCAGTGCAGGACCCAGACAGCATTTATGTCTGATTGTATTTGCCAAAATCTAAAAAATCCCCAGACACCTGCGTGTGTGTGTGTGTGTGTGTGTGAGAGTGTGAGAGAGAGAGAGAGAGTGAACATGCTTGTTCCATGTTGCCTTTGTGCTCTAGTATTAGTCCTTCATTTATATATGGAAATTTTTCAGATTTATGCCAGTTTTGTTGCTTTTATTTGCCAATTTCTATAAAAATACTCTCTGTTGCAGTCACACACATGTATGTGTTTGTGTGTGTATGAGATAGAAAGTTTGTTCCATTTTGTGTTTATGGTCTAGGACCAGACCTTTATTTAAATGTAGGAATTTTCAGATTTATACTGGATTTATTTCTTTATTTTGACAAATGAAATGAAGAAATTTTTTTTTTTTTACATTTTCCCATTAATTTTCAATGTGGGGTCAATCTGACCCCAAGGACCTTTAACGGTGTTTTTTTTTTACACACCTTTTTTTGTGTGTTTAGATAGATTATTTAGTAAAAGTCACAGAATTTCATGCCCATGGAATGAAGGGAACACTTTTAAAAAATAAAGGAAAATTCAAATGGGGTCAGCTGGACCCCAGGGACCGATTAAGGGTTAAGGTCTTAAGTAGGGCTGAACGATTAAATCGCATTTGCGATAATATCGCGATATGACAAAACGCGATTTTTTTAACCGCAAAGGCTGCGATTACACTCTCGTCACGTGACACGCGAGAGTAAAGCAGTCTGCAGAGGAAGCATCAACTTGGCACACTACGCATATGCCTGGCCTACAGAAAAGCGCACTTTGTTTAATCTATCTAATATTGTGTTGGTCATACTATACAATAGAGATGGGAGAAAAGATTCTGGATCGATTCTGAGCTTAGTTTTTAACCACAGATGTGCGATGGCGCTGCATGTGCTTTAGAAACTCATCCCGCTTGCTTCCAATTGCTCTCTCTCTCTCTATCACACACACACACCACTCGAACTATCCACACAATAATCTTTAATAAAGTTCGGAAAAATTACAAGGACACTCGGACACTTCACTGAACAGAATGTGCAGTGAGAAACGCGTGCGTTGCTGATGCTTGCTGTGTGTCGTCTCTCCCGCCGGTATTTTCCTTACAAATGCTCTACGAACACCTCCTCAGTTATGTCGTTATGTCCATTTCAAATGCTGACGCGTGCTTTGTGAAGAGTGCTCGGTCATGCGGCTGTGCGCGACTCCTTTTAAGTGGTTAAATATACTTTAATTTCGCGTCATAAAAGCATTTTGAAATGCATGTAAACACAGTCAGTTATGTCTTAAAGGATCAAACAGACAGGACAAACCACATCTTATATTTCAAAAGAGATCTGTGCATTAGTGTGAATGCTCTATGATTTCATCATAATAATCAACAACAGTAAAGCTGAGAAAGAGAAAAATCACAAACAGCACTTGAAAGGAAAATGTTCAGATACTCTTAAATACTGAAAGCACTGTTTGTTTATTGCTTGTAAGCCAGGCTAAAATAAATGTTTGAGCTGTCTTAACTGAGAGCAACTTGCACTGACATGTCTTAAAATATATCAGTGCCATTGTTTTGACTCAAGATACACACCAGTAATGTTTTTTTTCTAAGGCACGGTTAAGATACTTAGATGTCCTAATTAAACTAAGGCCTAATCCTGGCTTAATCTAAGCCCTGTCTTATATTAGTTTATTTAAAATTATTAACATGCAATTGTTTTAATTAAATTGTTTAATGTGTAATTTATTTTTAAAAAGTACTTATAATTAAATATGGAATTAAATAAAAAACAGTTGTATTAATAAGACTAAACAATAAGAAAAAAATATATAGTTTTGGAATTTGGCAGCGACTCCCAGAGTCGGAATCGAATCGTGAGGTGCCTAAAGATTCCCACCCCTTCAATGATTTATTGCTTGTCTTTGTTGAATAATACAGAAGATAAAGATCTTAAAAAATAAATCGCATATTAAATCGCAATCGCAATATTGGTAAAAATAATCGCAATTAGATTATTTTCCAAAATCGTTCAGCCCTAGTCTTAAGTGTAACTATTTTCTGGAAATGTTGGAAAAAATGCTATGGAAGTCATTGGCTACCGTCAACTGTTTGGTTACCAACATTCTTCAGAATATCTTCTTTTCTTGTCTCATACAGGTTTGGAAAAACTTGTGGGAGAGTAAATGATGACAGAATTTTAATTTTTGGGTGAACTACCCCTTTAACGCAGCCAAAATGATCCAAAAATACAAAAATGTCCCAAAGGACGCACAAGGGTTAAAGGGGTCATATGATGCTTTTTTAAAGATCATTATTTTGTGTATTTGGTGTAACAGAATATGTTGACATGCTTTAATGTTCAAAAAACACATTATTTTTTAAAATACTGTACATTATTGCAGGTCCTCTACGCCCCGCCTCTCTCAAACACGTCGTTTTCAACAAAGTACCTCCTTTCCGACAAGCGCAGTCTGCTCTGATTGGCCAGCTGATCCAGTGCATTGTAATTGGCCGAACACCGCAAGCACTCATCGGAAATATAACGCCCCTTACCATAATCGCGAGCTTATATGTGGGGGCATGTTAGAACGAGCCGTTTTAGGGGGGCGTGGCAGAGTCTTAACTTTGATAAAGAATATCTCTTTGGTTTTGAGACTTTAGTCTTTGCAACTTCAGGGATCTTATCTAAGCACAATCAGCTTGTAACACTCCAAAGAGAAAGGAAAACTTGAAATCGCATCATATGACCCCTTTAAACAACTGTCCAAACATAAACCTGCTACAGAATATTTCTTCTCACCTGGAGGGGGCGATATAGGGCATACTCATCACGGAAGATCTGATCATGATGGGTAACGCAGTCAAACCAGCGGCCATCTACCAAAGCCTGTCCAATAGCTATGGCCTGAGCCCTGTGTCGGAAGAACGGAAAGGAAATAAAACACCATAACTGCATACAATTAAGCATCTGACCATGCTTGAAGTTGTAATGAACCAAAAAAACCTCTCAAAACCAGTTTTATTGGTTCTTACCTAGTTGAAATAGTGCCATTTCGTAAGAGCCAGTTGACCAACTCTTTACCCACAATGCAGTTGGGGTAAGTACGCAGCCAGTACCGATGGTCCTGGAACTCCATTCCAGTATTGTTGTGGCAAATCTTCTTCCATAGATCTTTAAGTTGAGAAGAATCCTACAAGATAATCAGCTGTTATAATTACCAACTTGAAAATGAGAAAAGTTGAGGAGGAACCTGTGAAAGACAGGTTGTACCAGGAGGATCTTTCTCTCCTCTTCGCTGTGGTCAGTCTTAGATAGGGCCCGGCTGTTCTGTGGGCTAACTGAACTCTCGTAGGCAGGAACCATGGAAGAGCCAGAACGGTCCAAGGACAGGTTGGTCACACTAGCTGACCTTAACACATGAAATAAATGGAAAATATTGTATTTACAGTCCATAAAAAATAAGCACTGGAACAAGAAAATCTTTGACCAAAATACACAATAAACACCTCTTTCTGGCTGGTGACTTGCCCATATCCTCCTGGACTGCTGTAAGTCTGGAACTGAGACCACTGTTCTGAGATTCCTGATGACTAGAGTAATTACACACACACACACAAATAAACCTCAGCAACAGCTTAACCATTTCCCTTTGAAATACTACATACATAAATGACACTCAAGCTATGCATGAAACAGAGTCACACTTAAGTGCAGCAGCATGTCTTCACTAGGAGGTCATGCAAAACAAAAGTAACACTAAAACTCACTTCTTCCTCATCCCAATGGAATTTTTTCTATGCATAGAGAGAGAAAGGAGAAAAGATGAGCATTGAGACAAACTCACAACAACACATGAGCAGGAGCCAGCTGATTGGAAATAGGTGAGCAGAGAGAGTTGAAGTTCATTTGCATCACAATAGTCCTGTGAATGTTTTTCATAATTTGGGGGAAATTCCCTCCTGAATGCAAAAATGAATTGGAATGATTTACTGTCAGATTAAAAAGCTTGGTGGCAATAATGATTCATAAAAGAGTAATACTGACTACAGTACAATATATGCTACAATATTTGACTAAATAGCAATATATGTGTCCACCCTGTCGAAATACTGCCTGCCAGTCCACGATGCTAGCAAGATGAATCCCAAGAAAACATGTCTAGGTCATATTTTACTCCAAAAATAAAAAAGACATTACATTTTGCATAAAGAAAATTGAACTTTTTAGGACAGTGAGTTTTTTTGCATTGTAACATTACTTTTTATGCATTAACCCAGTGGTCACCAAACTTGTTTTTTTTAATGGAAATAAACATAAAAGAAACAGCATCTAAATTGTACACTTTTCCTTGGACATCCCATGTTATTTGTTAAGTACAAATTTGTTTCTATGCTTTCTATGAGGAACAGAAGAAAAATCATAAATCATCAGGTAGCTACTTGACTAGATGGACCTGGGAGAGCCAATCCTTCTACAATCCTCAAGTGAAAGAGATAAACAGCAAGAGCAATGATTATGGTAAGAAAGCAGAGTTAAAACAGAGCAGAGAAACACCAGAGGGATAAGGTAAAGTGAGCAGGAACCATTGGAATAGATAGTGATATGTCCTTATGCCCCGCCCCTTTTCTGATTCTCTCTGTTTTCTCACCTTTGCCAGGCCAGGTCCTCTTCCAGGAAGATGTTCCGGCTGGATTTGCGGCCCCCCACAGGTGTGCGTGGTTCGGTGGGCTCCAGAACACACACGGAGCAGGGCGAATCTGACAGGGCGCTGAGATCTTCTCCGATGGAGCTTGAGTCAGCTGAGTGAGCATAGCTCAATGCTATCTTACGACAGTACGTACAAGCTCGTAAATCACCTGCAGTATTGGGGAAAAGCCAAAAGAGACAAGATTAGAGTAATTAGACAACCAAGATTTGCCATTTCAGTTCTGATGAAAAAGCGGTGTATTTTTCAACCAATCTTTTAAATACAACACAGATTTGCTTTTATTTATTTCTGTTAACAACTAAAGCTGTCAATAGAAAGAATGAAATAAGAACACACAATTAAAATGTAGTAAATCTGTTTAAAAGCATTACATTTAAAAGACAATTATTTCAAATGTTAATTTGCTTAAATATGAATTAATTAATTTCTTACAGACTTTCAACAGCCATAAAAATGCATTTTTAACAAATAAAAAATAATTATCTGAATTTTTTTATGATTTTCCTCCTAGAATAGGACCGCTGAACTAGTGTACTCTGACTATAGCTAAATATGTGTTGTCCAAAACCAACATGAATATAAGAATAACCAGAGTAAGTTTCTCAGAGAATGTAGTCTGACTGAATGTCACGATCAGAATAGTTCAGATGAGTTTACAGCATAAAATATCTGCAAAAAATATATTGAGGAAATAATGTTGCTTTTTAGGTAGATACCGATTCCTCCTAAAAGGTCAAAGTGCACAAACACAAATTCTTACCTTTTTCAAAATCAAACAGTTAGTCCACAAAGTTCAAAAGTCACTCTACAACCCATTGAAATCAAAACCCAAAAAAGGTCAAACCACCGCAAGCACACGCAGCATGCTAAAGGGTAGTCTTACTCTTAATTTGACATAGCTGCTCATCTTCTTGTCGAAAGCCTCTTCAAAGGGGCTACGTCCACAAGCCAGCGGTCAGAATGAGACCCTCGCTCCCCACAGCGAACACCACAATAACACTCACCCGTATAGCCCATGAACTTGCCAGGAATTTCCTGGTTGCAGCATCGGCTGCAGAAGATTTGACCGCAGAGTCGACAATGGTGACGGCGTCGAAAGGTTGTGAATTTCTCGTTGCAGTCATAGCACTCTTTACACTGGCTGTCCGGCATCCAGTACTGTTTCAGATCACTGTCCTGGAACATAAAAACACAATTAATATCACTTACATCCACCTGCAATACAAAAACGTTTGTACTCTGTAGTGAATTCTGGAGAATGTGGATAGGCTCTTTTGTCTATAAGCTTAGAGGCATCTGTATAGAATGCAAAAAATGCTTGAACATGGGATTTTTTTTTCTTTTTCCAATGTCGTTCATATATCTTAAAAAGTCTTAAAAATACAGAAACAAATTTAATCTGTGGAGATTTTCTCAGCTAGTTCCCTGGAAATCAATACCTGACTTTTCCCTTCCATGATCTCCTTGAGTCTCTTGAGGGCTGTGCGCAGCTGGACAGCTGTTCGGGGATCGTGGCTGCCCAGAGGTGCTTCTGATTTCCGTCGACCCTCTATGAATGCAAAGAAACAAAAAAGCAACAGTCAAGTACAAAACAACAGGTTAAATCTACTCTAAAGTACAACATACAGGTGAAATGCATGACACACATGCTCATTCAAAACCAAAGCCTGCAGTCAAATATCCACCAGTACTCTTGATCCTGTCAATGATTGCTTATGTCAGCGAGGATTTTCGGGAATTTTTGTGGGATTATGATTTGCATGAGTAGACTACGAATGAATAGAAGCATGTGAAATTACTCAGACTAACAACTAAAGCTCATAACCAAAATGTTCAGCTCACACCGTTTGACGCATCCTTTCACATGCAACAAATGTGGTTAATTTAAAACTATACGCTGCAAAATTCCTTTTCTTAATCAGTATTTCTGTATGTTTTTCCAGTAAGCATATCTAAACATCCTTAAAACAATATAAATACACCTAAGAATAAGAGTCAAAGACATGTTTTCAGAGATACAAGTTCACCTGGACTTAAACAAATTTGCCAGTTGTTTATTTGGGGGCGGTGGTTATGTTTAAAAAATAAAAATAAATCAGATAAATCTATTTGGCAGTGTGTTAAGAAAAACTAACCTACTAAAATTTAAGATATATTCTCTTAAAACAAGTCTTAGTATATTTGTTTCTCAAGAAACAATACAAAATACTGATAAAGAAAATATTTTATTTTTGCAGTTTCTTTTTTCAGTGTTGATGAATTGAAGCAGATTTTAGGTCTATATGAAACTGACTTCGTACATATGAAATAAAATAAAGAATCCTCACCTTCCCAGTCCACTGTGAACAAAAAGGAACATACAACAACTTTAGCCTAAAAGATTTCTGCACATGTAATATTTTATCATCAAAATCGTTCAGCACTCACAAAATATTCAGCTTCTAATCATCTTGCAACTTCCGAATAAAAAGTGATGGTTCACAATACTTGTTTACCACTCGAATTATAGTTATAACTCCAGAATGTAGTTTTCCAAGTTTACAGTCAAACAAAAACTGTTTAATGGACTTCTTGAACCGTTGCCTGAATTTTCCCTCATAGTAAATGTCCGGTGGCCCTCCTGAGAGTGGAATGAATCATATGAGGGCAGAGTCTAGCCTTTGAATCACTGTTATCTTCAATGATAAACCCTGTTAGAACCAGGCTGCAGTGACTAGTCATCAATCAAAGAGACCTCTGATAGGATTGGTCTTTCTATCTCTAAAAAGAGCATGTTTACGAGGAATTCTGAACAATGGTTTTGTCTACAGAAAAACGAATGATTTTTATATTCTCTACTATAGAAGACTAGGACTACTGAACATGTCTGGGTCATATTTCACTACAAAAACAAAAGGTGCAATGTAACAAAATGTAAAAACCTGGACAATAATTGTGGACAGCTGAAAAAAGACAAATGTGTAAAACTGCACATGTATTTGTAATCTTGTGCCTTTGTACCTGAAGCAGTGGATGTTCTTCTGAGAAGTTCTGAATGTTTCCTGTGGGTTTCGGAGCCATGTATAGAATGGGAGGGACTTGCCCAGTTGTGGCGTGGCCCCTGCGGTGATGATGAAGCTGACTGACTTTTCTCCATCACTGAAGGAGGCCGTCCTTCCTCTGAACAATTGAAACCAACAAACACAGCTCGGTCAGAAGGTAGAAGATTTCTAATTTTGTGGTGATTGGCTGATTTAAAGAAAGAATTTGCATTGTGTTGACATTTCTTCTTTTAATCCTCTTTTCCTGAAATCATTTTTTCCCCCCAATTATTAATTTTTGCTATACTTGCATTTCCGTACAAAATCTAGACTTACCAAGTTTAGCAAGCTTTTTTGCTGGTGCAATGTTTGCACCTGTTTTTTCTAAAAGGAATGAAAGGGAGAAATTAGAGTTGATCACTATAAATGTACTTTGAATTTAAAATTTTACGGACTATCACACTGATTAACTGTAAATCAATACATCAAGAATAATATTCAAAGAAATTAAATTTGAATTCCTGACACTTCTCTTGTTGTAGTATGTCAGAGTATTTCTTCAGCTTCACTGACTTGCTTAAATATATTACCTAAACAAAATCATCAAATGTCCTACACAAATGCAAATGTTGAACTTTTGTTAAATCTACTAGATTATCTTCCTTTTTGTAATTAAGTGCACATGCAGTAGGAGTTTTACTTCTCTAAAGTGTTCTTAGGGCACATAATTTCCTCACAGTAAGTTGTTTACCCCTTAATGTAGAGTGAACTATTACTTTAATAGAGATCATCTATTCCTTTTAGCCCTATGAACAGTTCTGAGTAAAACTCTTATGTGCTAACTGGACAGGGTGTGCCTCAATATTATTCCTCAAAGCTCTGTCTTATAATTTCATATTAATGGGTCCACTTTCACTCTTGTACTGCAACGCTTCCAGCAGGAATGTTCTGTTAATATTATACACAGGAAGGAATAAAAAAAAAAAAAGTCCACATGAGAGCACACAGAATAGGCACTGTGTCCTCAGAATATTTTGAGCAATGTCACATGAGGTTTTTCCCTCCACTGACTGTTCAATTCGATTCCCTCTATTGCCTTTCTGGAATTTACAGTAGAGCACATTCTCTAAAACCAGAATGACTACTATATGTGACCCTGGACCACAAAACCAGTCTTAAGTTGCACGGGTATATTTGTAGCAATAGCCAACAATACATTGAATGGGTCAAAATGATCAATTTTTCTTTTATGCCAAAAATCATTAGGATATTAAGTAAAGATCATGTTCCATGAAGATATTTTGTAAATTTCCTACTGTAAATATATCAAAACTTCATTTTTGATTAGTAATAAGCACTGCTAAGAACTTAATTTGGATAACTTTAAAGGCAATTTTCTCAATATTTTTTTATTTTTTTGCACCCTCAGATTCCACATTATCAAATAGTTGTATCTCGACCAAATATTGTCCTATTCTAACAAACTGTATATCAATGGAAAGCTTATTTATTCAGCTTGATGTATAAATCTCAATTTTGAAAAATCTACACTTTAGACTGGTTTTGTGGCCCAGGGTCACATATATATAACCTTGTACTTTTTTTACAGAAACCAAATTCAAGTTATTAAAATGCTAAGAATTATTATGCTTTAAATGTGCAACCAAACAGTCAAACAGGAATACAGAGTACTATGCATTCAATTTCCAAATAAAAAATTGAATAAAGCAGTTTAATGGAGGATTGCTTATTTATTCAGCTTGATGTATAAATCTCAATTTTGAAAAATTTACACTTTAGACTGGTTTTGTGGCCCAGGGTCACATATATATAACCTTGTACTTTTTTTGCAGAAACCAAATTCAAGTTATTAAAATGCTAAGAATTATTATGCTTTAAATGTGCAACCAAACAGTCAAACAGGAATACAGAGTACTATGCATTCAATTTCCAAATAAAAAATTGAATAAAGCAGTTTAATGGAGGATGAAATCCATGAATCAGATGGCAGAATGGCAGGATTGTTTTGATGGCAGAAAACAAACAGTGAACCTTTGAAACCAACCTCATGATTTAAAAAAAGAAAAAGAAAAAGGAAATGCAGGTGCAGATGTTGATTAAGGCATAATGGCGTGAAAAAAAATTATGTTTTACCTTTGCTGAAGCGGAACAGACTGACAAAGGAGCTGTAGGCGGAGCGCAGGGGTGGCTCGTCCTGCTCGGGGGTCAGGGGTTTGAAGTGCGTTAGATGGGAGGGACTGGTGGGTGAGAGTGGCTGCTCGGAGCTCCAGTCCATCGCAGAGGACGAGGAGGAAGCCTTGTCTTCGGCAGCCATGTCACTGCCCCTGAGGGACAATCTAAACAAATTCCAAATACAATAATATATGTTTGATTTTATTTGAATACTAAATAAACATTGGGTTGGTTCTCTCAGTCTCTACATAGTGTGTAAATAAATAATGTCTCAGTAATGTCTAAATAAAAAAATAGGTAGTTTAACAAATTCAGAATTACAGGATTAGTTTCGAGTTGACAAAACCAAAGCAGTCCAATCCGGCTTTGTTGGTACCATGATGCTGATTGAATGTGCACATGAATGTGTGACATCAGTGGTAAAGAGCCAATCACATGCCTTGCAACACAGAGCAAGTGTGATTCACTTCTTGCGAGAGACCCAGCAAGATTCAAAACTCTTTTACTAAAGGTTTACAAGAGATTGAAGAATATGAGGAATTTAAACACATTCATACTAAAGAAAGTACTTGTCCATGAAAGAGGAGGACAAATAAAATAAAAGAAATGATCTTGCTCTATCAGTGCAGTAACAAGTGAAGTTAGTTTATATAGTTATTCAGCTTGATGTATAAATCTCAATTTTGAAAAATTTACACTTTAGACTGGTTTTGTGGCCCAGGGTCACATATATATAACCTTGTACTTTTTTTACAGAAACCAAATTCAAGTTATTAAAATGCTAAGAATTATTATGCTTTAAATGTGCAACCAAACAGTCAAACAGGAATACAGAGTACTATGCATTCAATTTCCAAATAAAAAATTGAATAAAGCAGTTTAATGGAGGATGAAATCCATGAATCAGATGGCAGAATGGCAGGATTGTTTTGATGGCAGAAAACAAACAGTGAACCTTTGAAACCAACCTCATGATTTAAAAAAAGAAAAAGAAAAAGGAAATGCAGGTGCAGATGTTGATTAAGGCATAATGGCGTGAAAAAAAATTATGTTTTACCTTTGCTGAAGCGGAACAGACTGACAAAGGAGCTGTAGGCGGAGCGCAGGGGTGGCTCGTCCTGCTCGGGGGTCAGGGGTTTGAAGTGCGTTAGATGGGAGGGACTGGTGGGTGAGAGTGGCTGCTCGGAGCTCCAGTCCATCGCAGAGGACGAGGAGGAAGCCTTGTCTTCGGCAGCCATGTCACTGCCCCTGAGGGACAATCTAAACAAATTCCAAATACAATAATATATGTTTGATTTTATTTGAATACTAAATAAACATTGGGTTGGTTCTCTCAGTCTCTACATAGTGTGTAAATAAATAATGTCTCAGTAATGTCTAAATAAAAAAATAGGTAGTTTAACAAATTCAGAATTACAGGATTAGTTTCGAGTTGACAAAACCAAAGCAGTCCAATCCGGCTTTGTTGGTACCATGATGCTGATTGAATGTGCACATGAATGTGTGACATCAGTGGTAAAGAGCCAATCACATGCCTTGCAACACAGAGCAAGTGTGATTCACTTCTTGCGAGAGACCCAGCAAGATTCAAAACTCTTTTACTAAAGGTTTACAAGAGATTGAAGAATATGAGGAATTTAAACACATTCATACTAAAGAAAGTACTTGTCCATGAAAGAGGAGGACAAATAAAATAAAAGAAATGATCTTGCTCTATCAGTGCAGTAACAAGTGAAGTTAGTTTATATAGTTGATAATATATAGCGATAGAGACTCGAACATGTAAGGTCACATGTTGTCTTTTTTTAAGCATTATCTATTGATTCTACAGCCTATTTAGATTACATATGATCAGTATATATATTAATATTCATTTAAAATAAATGCTTTATAATAATTGTTAAACAAAAATTGCTTGTGTGTAATAGATTAATAATATAAATCATATAGTAATTATATAAATCATATAAAATAAAAAGTAATTATCATTAAAGCGAGACAATTTTGTTGGTAAATTGTATTTTTACTCTATAGAGTGACCTTTAATTTGGAGGAAGAAAAACTGGTGGAGTGACTTTTCTGTGCCAGACAGACATGTGTCACTTTGGTCTAATTTCAGTTTGAGATCTCTTACCCAGAACATAACCTGCCCTGGAGCAGGTTAGCTGTGGAGTGTAAGTTACTATGGCAATGAACACCACTAAAAGCCAAGCCACTTTCATGGTACCTAAAACCCAGGATTGGTGCAAACTAAACTAATCCGACTTCATGGTACAGGCCCCTGGTCTTTGTAGGCAAGTCAGTGAGAAAGTGATAACCAATCACTACAGCATTTATTATTTATTATCCACTCATTTCAGAAACAGGACTAGCACTTTACTATTCAAGTCAAGTTTCGCTTTATTGTCATTCCGCTACATGTGGGGAGATACAGTGGAACGAAATGTCGTGCAGCACACGGTGCTACATAAATACAGACATACAACAATGAAGTAAAACAGTATAAACTAGTGATGTTTGGTTCTTGAACAAATCGTTCTTTTGAGCCGGTTCGCAGGAAGTAACCGGTCGAGCGGGTTCACAAATCGAACTGAATCGAACTTTAGTTCCGGGTTGATGACGCAGGACACACAGCCGAAGTAGCACGTCCAACTCAAAAAGAACTGATTGAACCGGTTCAACTAACTGTCGAAGTTTGCCGAAGATTACCGAGGACTCAAGAAGAACCGAATGAACCATGGCGAAATTTGCCGAGGATTACCGAAGATTCTGATGAGTGAGTTGACGATACTGTGCAAGCCTGAGGCGCGTACTGGAAATATGCTTATTATGACTGTTATTAATTTACATTTTTAAAAAACCTGCAAAAACCTTTCTGTCGAGTGATGTAAATAAATTTTACATTAGTTTATTGTGCATGCATATTATATTTAAAGGTCCCATATTGTCAAAACTGATATTTCCTGGCTTTTTTCATAATAACTGAGGTCTAGGTGCAATGTAACTACCATATAAATGTCAAAACAGTCAGTCCACAGTAAAATTCACACAGCCTGCATAAAGTAGCTGTGATTTTTCACGAACCGTTGTGACTTCCGTAAAAAGTTGATGTCAGAACTACAGTCACCGCCTTCAGTCGTTACCCCGAGCACTGCCCACCGTCCCACTCTCCTTTTGCCAAACCCCCAGAGCCTGAGGCGCGTACTGGAAATATGCTTATTATGACTGTTATTAATTTACATTTTTAAAAAACCTGCAAAAACCTTTCTGTCGAGTGATGTAAATAAATTTTACATTAGTTTATTGTGCATGCATATTATATTTAAAGGTCCCATATTGTCAAAACTGATATTTCCTGGCTTTTTTCATAATAACTGAGGTCTAGGTGCAATGTAACTACCATATAAATGTCAAAACAGTCAGTCCACAGTAAAATTCACACAGCCTGCATAAAGTAGCTGTGATTTTTCACGAACCGTTGTGACTTCCGTAAAAAGTTGATGTCAGAACTACAGTCACCGCCTTCAGTCGTTACCCCGAGCACTGCCCACCGTCCCACTCTCCTTTTGCCAAACCCCCAGACAACATTGCGGAAACATGTCGAAAAGGTTAACTTTAACCACAAACCCAGAATGGCCGACCTGTATCGTTGCACTCTCACTCAAAGGATGGATGATCTGTCCATTTTGTCTGGCAGTGGCAGCAGATATGCGATCAAATTTCTAATTTGAGGCTGTATTACGCCGATTCTGGCACCCAACAAGATGATATTTTAAGCTCCTTATTGTAGCCGAATCTGCGCTGGTTTGAATGGGCCGCCTCCAGTTTCCCCTTTGTTTTGCTGCCTCCGGCTAGTGCTGTGACGTGACGTCGGCTGACCCTAGTTACCTGTGGTCGGCCTGGCCGTGTGTCACTCAGAACACAACAGGCCAAACAGAAGAGAGGCTCATGAAGATTAATTAGACAGGCCAAAATCTACCTGTTCTCAGGAGAGCTCCTGAGAAAGGAGCTGTAAAAATATACTGAGATGGTTTTTGGTACTTATACCGCAAATATATATTCTTAAGGACATCAAAACCTAAAATAAAACTCCAGAAAGGTGTAAAATACGGGACCTT